GGGCAAAATTGGCTGAGTCTCTTTGAACTGTTCGCACAAATGGTTTGAAATTATATAGCTTAAAATATTTTAAAACTTTACTAAATGGCTGCCTTGGGTTTAGTCAATACTTTCAACCTTTGCTACCATAATTTTCTTGTTTAAGAGTGTAATCTTTTTTTTTTTTCCTGTTAAACTGATGCTGAAGCAGGTATAGCTGTACTGGGAGAAGAATTACTGTGCACCATGAGAGGGAAGTGCCAGAATACCTGCAGAGAAGAGACCCGAGTTGCAAAAGGCCAGAAAGATGCAGGCAAGGCGTGCGTTTGAGACAAAGAAGGGCAGCAATTAAAGGGAAGCTGCCTTAATAAAAAGTGAGAGGAGCAAAGAAATTAATGTAAGAATACTCAGGGAGCGTGAAGTTGCAATAATCGGGGCTATCCTGTAGTTGGTAATCGAAGTGAGTCCATGCCCAGCTTTTGCAGAAGACTGTTAGAGAAGAATAGCTATTTGAAAAACAGTCTCCTCCTAATCTTGTGACAGTGACGTACTTGTGTGTTTGAAAATCAAGATACAGGGGGTTCAAAATCAAGATGCTGGGGGCTTGCTGTCCTGATGTCTATTTGCAAACCCTCTGCCGGTCAGTAGCTTGGCTGAACAAAGTGGAAAATCATCTTGTCAGAACTTCTTTTGTTACCCAAACAGACAGCAGGAATAGATCGGACGGGGGAGCTGTGGTCAGGTTTTTCCAACGTCCTCCACTCCTTAGTTTGGGTGAAGGCTGTATCCGCGCATACGGGAAAGGGAGGGAAGGGATACATATCAGAGTTAAGGGGGAAGAACTTCAGGAAATAATGATATAAAGTAGTGATATAATACTGATGGTGGATTCTGCCATCAATTTTGTAACTTCGTTGCTTTAGCTTTTAAGAGGTAATGGCGGTCAAAATGCAATTTTGGGGGTGGGGGGTGTGTCTGCTTGTAAGGGGTAAATTATCCATGATACTTTGAGCTAACAAGTACATTTTTTTTCCTACACTTTTAGCAAAACTGGCTGAAATGTTTAGACTTGTAGAGCTTCTGTTAAGACTGTATGTTTTCCTTTTTTTTGTTCGGTTCTTGAAGAACCACAGGATGATACTTGTGCATTTGTGGGGAAAATTGATTTACTGAATGTGTTAGTTATTTTAAGAATTATCAGTCGTTGCATTCTTTAGTTATCTTTGTGAAATATTTTCATCAAACTTTAGTTTCTAGAAAGCAGCCTAGTCTAGACAGAGTCTGGTCTCTATGTACCCTTGTGAAAAAAAAGAAATTTGAGAGCATGAAAGTGGGGATAAAGATGTGATACAACAGCAAGGAAATCGTTAACAGTTCCTCTTTGTGTGTTTTGAGGGCATGACAATTAGCTTGGTTTTGTTTTGAAAAGGTCTATGACTCGCCAATCTTTGGTAATTAGTGAGTGCACAAAGCTGTTAAACGCAAGCAATGGATAAAAGCAAATCAAAGTTTACATGTATAAAAAAAGAACTCTTAAGAGTTCTCTCTGTATGTCTACAGATAGACAGACAGATATGCATTTACCTGAATGGTCCAGCACAGTTTCAAAATTAGAACAGATTAGGTCAGTCCCATCTGATCTTTGCTGTTTGCTCATCTATGGAAAGTATGGAGCACAAAATGCTTTACGAAGGAAAGACGGAAATTATTATTGGGGATCCTACAAAGAATGTAATAATTACAATCTGGCAATTAATTAATCAAATTAATTTGATTTCCCTTCTTCTTGAGTTTTCTTGCGTTAAGAAATGCAAATCTGTTTATAGAAATTTTATGACTACGTCAGATGACACATTAATTTTGTCAATGGCAGTAAAAATGGGTATGAAGTGTGCTTATTATCAAATGCTAGACAAAAAAATTAAAATGTTGCATATTCAGGTTAGATTTGTATATTCACAGAAGATGATGCATATTTAATGACTTGCTATCATAGTTAATTTATCATACTAAAGAATATCCGATATTACATAAGCTACTTTTTAATAGCTGCTTTTTAATTTTAATTCACATTCTAGCACGGTCAAATTTAACCTATTGCAGTCTTTGTACAAAACTTACTTTTTTTTTTTCCTGTAACTCAAATTAATATAGGACTTTAATTTGGGACATTCCAAATAAATTTGCAGATATATTGGCTTATGTACTCCTCAGTGGCAATCCCTTTCAGCATCATAGGGAGTGTGTGTCTTGACCAACTGCTGGGCAAGTTCCTTTTCCTACAAATGGTGTTAGACATTTTCCTGTGCAGTCACAGCAGGGAAGAGCATCACTGCATACACACTACTGCATACACACTACTGCATACACACTACTGCATACACACTACTGCGTACTGCTTCCTTCCTGCATGGGAGAGCAGAGGGCCACGCTGACTGCTTGGTGATTTGAGTCTGTGGATCCCAGGGAGTAAAACTGACAACATGGATATGACTATTGTTTCCCCAAACGCTGTTTGGAAACAAATTTAGAGGTAGTTTCGTGTGTGTGGTTGTATAATAAAACCATGTCTAAAATCTCTACAATTTGTCACAAATTTAGATTTAGTTCTAACAAGTAGGGAAACAAAAATTAAGCATATATGGCATATAAAAAGTGTATGTTAATTTTTTTGTGGCAACAGATCTGAAAGTATACTGGACTTCTGTTGGCAGTTGAAGCTATAGGAAGAATTGTGGTTCAAATCCTATACAACAAGAGCAAAGTTATATTTCCAGTGCTTTAATTCCTACTGTTGACCAGTTTAAGACTCTGTAATGCTAGCTAGCTCTTGTATGTTGTTTTTCATCATTAGATCTAACAGCATTTTATAACAAGATGCAATTAAGACACACACTGATGTCCATCCTAATGTGGATACACTTTAAATAAACATAACATTTCTGGAAATGTCTTTCTCCAACACTGTTAGTAAATGTGATGCATTTTTATTGTTATGCACAAACTGAAATATATCATTACAGATATTTTTGCAAGTTTTATGAATCTGGAACGTAAATGAACAAACAATGTCCTGAGTATAATTAAAGCTGCAAAGTGTAGAGCCATAAACAATCACAATACCCCAACACAGTGCTTAAATAATTAGAGTTTTAATGAGGGAATTATCACTGATGTTTTTGGATCATTAGTGAGCATAAGCATCCCCTGCCCTGTTTTAAGGAACAAGGATGAGTTTTTGAGGAAAGGATTTTTACAGATGCATAGAGTGGACATTCCACTGTACGTGTCTTAACTTTACTACAGCTTGCTTAAATCTGAAGTGAGCACAAGAGAGGAAGTGCTGTTGTTGATTGGGGTTTTTTTTTGTTTTTTTTTTGAGGGTGCTGTTCTTTTCAACACTTAAATATTCTTTAAATAAATCATACATAACACTTTTAGTAACAGCTAAATGATTTACTCTTTAAGTCAAGGTGAATAAATGCATGTGTAATGGAGCATGTTCATTAATGTTGATTTGGGTGATGGTTATCACTGCCCATGTTTGGTGTGTGAAGTCACTGAGCTCCAGCTTTGGACATCTTAATGAGTGTCATTACACACAGCCATCTGGAAGTTCTGATCATGCTCCTCTCCTGCTGTACAGGTGAGCTAGTTGGGGTTGCTCTTTTGCCCAGTTATGTCAATCTCAAAGCAGCATAGTGCAGCGGAGAATCAAGACCTTTGAAGGGCATTCCATCAGTTTGCAAGTAACTCATGTGTACTAGTGGAAAAATGGGGCCTCAATACATATGATTATTTTGCTAATATGATCAGAGGATTTGCTTCTGGAGTTGAGAGTAGTGCATCAAGTGATACCCCATCATGCACTCTTAAAATAGTGGTATTCGACTATTAATAATAAACAGTAGCTTCTAAAAACCAATACACTTTTTTTTTCTTTCAATAAATCAATGCTTGAGAGATCCCAGAAGCACACTAAAACTATAATCTGGTATGTAAAAAATACAGTTATCTTAGTTAAATATTTTAAGTGGTCTAATTATCTTGAATTTAGGTTTGAATTTTAATATCCTATTTTCTACTCATCTAGCTGCCTTTCTCAAATGTTTCCTATTAACATTCATTTATGTTCGTGTTGGCTTATGTGGGTAGCCAAGTAAAGTAATAGCAGCTTGTTATTTTGATAACCCTGATATTTTCAAGCAATTACAAATATAAAATGAGAAAATGTAAAGAAGAGAAAGGGACATCCTGTATAGTAGAAACACAATTTTTGCAATTACTGATGCAAAATATAGGCTTCCAAGCTACTACTAAACACTTACACATTCTCTATATGAGAAAATGTGATGTTACATGCTGTTTGAAATAGGAGCTTTCCTGTGTTAACATACAAAAATATACTTTGTTAAAAGTTAACAAAAATAACTTAAATTTTTGAGAAGCAAGACAAGTTCTCGTTGGGGTGGAAAGTAAGCCAGCCTACTAGTCCAAACTGGTGGTTTTTTTAAGAGATGAGATTACAACAACATCTAAAGGTAAATAACAAAGATGAAGGCTTCTGAACATTCTTGTTGCATTGTGACACCAAGTCTCATACTCAGTTAACTTTAACATTTTCACTTTATTCTTTATATTAATCTTAAAATATGAAATGAGGCACTGATATGTTATGGCTTGTTGTGTCTAAGTACCATTTGCTTTGGTTTTCAGGGACTTCACATAATGAGCCAAGGGAAATAATTATTTCCTTGGCAATGAAACATGTTTAAGGACAAGCTAATAGATAAAGGGCAAGATGACTAATTCAGTGGAATAACTTAATTTCAGCGAAGTTGAATGTTGATGGTGTAAATATGTAGTAGGACATTTACTATGCAGTTTAAAAAAAACAGCTATTTAATATTTATCTCTCTAGCTGCGCTGAGCTCTGTGCCTGTGGACTCGAATCAGAAAGAGCTTTCATTTAAATCAATGGGACTTAATGCACATTTTAGAATATTTTTAAGATCAAAGTTTATTTTACACCTGAAACAATAATAAAAAAAATAATCTTCAAACAAAGAGGAGTTTAAGTGGTTCTCTTGCAATTTTCATAAAGGTGTAGCCTTTGGATAAAAACCCAATACACCAAACCTAAAACACTTCCTCTGCTCTCTTTTCTGTAGACTCCTGAAAGAATGATTTTTGCAACAGTATGTTTTAATGGCCAACTACTATTCTGAATGCAATATTAAAATAAATAAGATAGTATAGTACAGAGAACCATGCCTCCAAGTCATGTTTCCTGCATCTATTGTGCAATGAAACCATTCCTCTGAAGCAAGACCATAAAATAAGAAGCTATTTTATAGACAATTTAGGTTTTGATGCTTTTCCAAGAGTTCCTTTACTAGTTTCTCTAAGGAGAAGAGATGCTCATCTACATCTTCTGGTACAAGATTTCTGATAGAATTAGCAAGTTCAAACAGGTATTCTGTGTTTCTTCCACTAGGACCAACTGAGTTAAAAATCTGTTCAGCAATTTCTTCTAGAGGTGCTGGACCAAGGTAGTTAGGGTTGTCATGAGTTCCAATGTATAACAACACATCAAATGGTTTTACTGACGAGTCTTTTGGGTAGAAAACAACAGTTGTAGTCCTGTAGCCTCCTTTCTCTCTGAAGTCCAGGTATGCCTTTACTTCACATTCTTGTCCAGCTGGCAATCTGTAAGCAACACCCCATACGCAGCCCTGTTGAAGGACAGAAGAAAAGAAAATCCAAGCAGTGTTTATAAAGATACTCACTACTTAATGTATTTCCATTGTATTTAGGCAAAATACTCTTAAAAATATATATATTCTTCCATTTTCAGTCTTTTTATAGCTATTTCTCACAACGTTTGTAGAAGGAGTACCAAATTAAAAGAAAGGACTGTTTTATTTAGGAAATCTTCAGTCAAAATGGTAATCGTGCAGACTGATCATCCACTTTCTTGCTAATGCTTAGGCCTTTCTTATTAAACAACTTCTTGTTACAATTAAATTTGAAGTAGTACATCACTTTGGCCTGGCCTTCTAAGGAGCTTGCAAAAAGGATACCAAGTATCTTCTTGACCTTACAAAATTTGTATGTGAAAAGTAAAATTATAAATAGTGCCCAATTCAATGTAATTTTGATAAGTTCCTTTCTCTGGTTAGTTGTAGTTTCATTTTTAAGGCCCCAAGTGTCACCTTACATCTGTTACACATACTTGGAGGGATGAGTGTTGTAACATTACTGTGCTGACACTGAATCAGAAAAGAAAAAGCCGAGAGAGAAACCTTCATTTTGCACAAATAAATGTGGCATATCCAGCACCTCAGCAAACACTGTTAGGATAAATTTCTCTTACCATTTTTGAGAACCTGAGTATTTCTTCATTCTCGTCACAGATAACATCTCTGAAAAAGTATTTAACCTTGGTATGAATTAGTTGTACTCCCTTACCAAGATAACTAAAGAGAGACCTGTATAGGGATTCATTTGCATGGGATTGTGTTTTAAGTACCCTAGAAAAATGATGATGGTCTGCTATCCACTCAGGGCTACGTATTGTTTCTTACAAGTGCTGTTTTAAAATAAATGGTACTCTGTTTCGTCTGCTGGCAACATCAAATGTAGATTCTTTCTGCAGCTAAGTAGGCATACATATCCATGCTACAGTTATGATCACAAAGCAATTAATGTTTGTTTTTCCCCCCCCCCCTCCCCCCTAAATCTGGATCTTAGCATTTAGTCATGATATCAGACAATGCTGGGGTGGTGGTGTTAATTTTGTGGTCAGACTATATGCCAGTTGAAGGCATTTTGTTAAAAAAATCAGGAGTCATTTTCTGTTGCATCCTTTGTAGGTGGTTACAGCATTTGATGTGCTGTGGCCAGAACAACACTACTGAGTACAAAAATGGGTTCCTTGCTTTCCCTCAGCCATCTGGGATGCTGGTTCACTCCAGACGTCTGCAGGAAACATGTTAGCTTTGGAAACAGCCTCTTCTGCACATATTATTCCCTTGAGTTGAATCGGCCATTCAGACTTACTTTGGTGTTGACAGGAGAATATATATGGGTCTGGTGGGGATAAGGATTTAAAGCAGATAGTAGTACTAGTGAATTTGTTTAGTTTTCAGTATAGGGCATTTCTGTTTCAGATGATGGGCAATTATAATCCAGAAATCTGACAAGGAGTATGAGGTTCTTTTTCTGTGTGGTTTCCTCTTAACTGGCAAAGAAGCTCCAGATGGACCAAGTTAAAGTAACTCTCTATACTAGGTGTTTCCAAGGTGCACTGTGTGTATCACTTGTGAAAAAGGACACACAGAGATGACAGCTGGCATTGCCAGTTAAAGTATACCACTGCTGTTGTCACCAAGGTATTTGGTGTCTGCGTAGAGGGGAATAATTGCTGTAGTCTGCTAAGATACCTTCAAAATAAGGTTACCTTTTTGAACTGCAGAATGAGTAACAGAAATTAAAGCAAATGACTTGTTCACACCATTTGATGATTATATGTAAAGTGTGATTATCAGGTCACACCAGATACTGGAGAAAAGGGAGAAAAACCCGACCAAACAAAACTGGTTGTAACAAAACAAACAAAACAATTGCAGGTCCTTGCAAAGATTAGCTTCTTCACTATCTATCAGAATTTGAAACGGGTAAAATGTAAGTCTAGGGACTTTTCAAAGCAGAAAAATCTTGATTTTTCCTAAAGCTTAGATGACTGTAAGCCTTAGGCATTGTTTCATCCCCCCTCCCTCCCCAGCCCGGGCGCTCCCCCCCTTGCACTGTCTTAAGTGATATCTAGGGAAGAAGTGAAAAGATAAGCAAGAACAGTAGACTCTGGCCAACGGCCTTTTCTCTAAATAGGAGCTAATTTCACAATATTACATAGAAACCAAAAGCACAGTTGTGGCACTTAATTCCTTAAACATTTGATCTGTGTAGCAAAACATAAAGCAAGGGTATTTCCTTTCTTATCACTGCGATGCGATCTTGATTTGTTTCAGTTTTTATTTTGGGATGGCAACGTTACTGTTCTGACACAACATCTGGGGTATCATCAGCACTATATGTATGCTGAAAGTAAAATTCTGCATCTTATAACAGGATAGCTGAAGTAACTATTCCAGAAAATACTTTTACATATACCTCTGTTAATAGCAGACCCAAGCTACTCCCAGTTTCTTAGTTTAGATTGATTGATTGATTTGAAACAATTGGTATCAATTGGTGTAACTCTAAGAAATTTTGAGAGAACTGTTCATTGCACTAAAGATAACTCAGTTATTGGCTTGTAGAGAAGCAAAAATTAAGAGAGACTTAATACACAGGCTGGGAATGCAACAGGACATTCTGTATACTACATAGACAGAGTACTATACCTCAGCATCTTCAACCAGCGTCACAACTCTTCCAGGCTAAAATAAAAAAAAAAATATCATAGTTCAAATACAGGCTTTTAATTGAAATCATGAGCAAAACCAAAACAAAATAAAAAAAAAAACCAACAAAGAATAGTGTCCTGGATTAGTTCTCTGACCATCTCAATAACCTCTATTTATTTGAAATCCAGTATAAATATTTTTCAAGAATAGCTTTTGATCTGTATTAGGTAAACTGTGATGAACAAAATGTTAAATTCTGAGCGGAAAGCACCTGTAACATACAAGTTAGATTAATGGCAGTTATAAATGGTGAGGTTTTGAATGTCCTTGCTTTGTATGTGCTGTCCAGACTCAATTATATTCATTTTAAATTGTGATAATTCATTAATGTAAAACTATCATCAGTGCACCTTCCTCAGTCATGTTGTTTTCCATGGTACTATGCTTTTATTTTTTTATCTCCAAAGTGACAATGAGATGAACCTTCTCACTTGGATTCAAAAGGTTTATATGCAGGCATGGACAAAAATGTAACAGAAATCTAGCTTGTGTAGAAGTAGATGAGATATTACCACTTCTGGCTTGGTTTGCACAGATGGCTTTTAGATAATGTTAATTACACACTATGACACATGACAACTTCTAGCTTTAAAAGCTCCTAACTAATTAGATGTTTTTGAAAACATACTGCAAAGAAATCTGGTAAGCACCATGTTATTCAATGTTGAAAAATAAGTTTATTGTGCAAAAGACTAATTTCCCCTTCTTTTCCTTCTCCCCGCTCATTATTTCTTGCTGGGCTGAGGGAGGATACCTTGGTAATGGCTTATTTTTCCATTAAGTTTCTTCTTGCAGGAAGAGTAAAGAGGCCACTTTGTAAATACTGAAAAGAAAATTGTTAACATTTGTTGTGTTACCTGGAGAATAAAATTTTGAAATATAAAACCCTACGGAGAGCTACAGCTGTAGTTTAAAAGTGCTAATTTTGGCATTAAATTAGTGTACAAGTGTCTGCTTAGAGTTAAGGGAAAGCAGAGGTACTAGCGTTAATTCAACTCCAGTGTAGGATATAAATTAATTTTCTTAGGAGTTGCAAAGATAATCTGAATTTGAAATACTTGGACGCATGCCTTTCATTTAGTCTTGGCTGATTTTCAGTCCTGGGCTACTAAGTTCTAGTCTTTTTATGACTCCTCACTAGTAGCTGCATTGACATGTCCGTGCTTTTCTCTTTGCTAAGTTTGTACTTCTATTTGTCTCTTTCACCCAGAAACAGTGTAGGGTTTTCTCTTGCACCAGCCACTGGCAACCCATGCATTCTTTGGTAACAAGCTAAATACGAAATCTAGTTTTTGCAGAGCGATTCATAGATACCAGCAAGTGTAGATATTAATATCAGATCTTTTAGAATCTTATCAAGGCCATTTATAAGCTCTGAGTTGCTGTGGTTTTTCATTGTTATACCGGTTCTGTCCCAGCATCAGCCATCTATTCCTGATCTGATTGATACAATAAGGTAACAAAATACAATGAGGTAACAAAACTAAACTAATACTAAATTATTACTCTTTGAGTACTTAGAGGAAACAGGTCTGTTACCGTGGTTAATCAACATAACTTAGGTGTTCCTTTTGGGGAGTCTTATCCATAGCCATTAATGCTTCCCTGACTTGGGTACTCGGATACTAAGATTTTGTAAATTATGGATTAAAGAGTCATTCTGTGGTGGAAAACAACTTTCTCTTTATTATCAAGAATGTCTGTGTCTGAAGAATAATATTAAATAAAAGTAAAGTACTGAAGAGTACTTAATCTTCAGAGTAGTTGTGTGATGAAAGAACAATCTGTTTGCGTAGGGAAGGACAGGGTATTTATTGTATTGGTTTGCAGAGTCCTTGTCTTCCATAGAACTACCTAAAAATAAAGACCATGGAACCATGCGTATTACCTCTGCTGGCTAAGAAAAGGAAATAACACATCTATAAATGACTAGCTATATAATATAAACCAAAACCATTTTTGTCATGTCCAGGGAGTACTGGAAAGAGTAAACCTGAATGATCTCCTAAAAAACAGGATGTCTTTGAGGGATCTGTGTCAGTTCTGTGCAGTGTACTGCCACAAAGGCAACCTGCTGGAGCAGCAGCGTGGTCTGAGCTGCACAGGTATCTTCTACAGCATCTGCAGCACTAAGGGCCATGGTCTCTCTGAACCAGAAGGGAAGCCATTGTGGAAAATTAAATACAACACTAAGCGCTAAAACAAGGTGTATTTCACTTCAGGCCCTCAGTGGTACTGTACACTAGATGTACAGTACTCCCCAATGTACTCCTGTCTTAAGAGTGCACGTGGCAGGAGATTCTTACAGGCTTTGCCAACCTGGGTTCAGTAAAAAGAGGAAAATAGCATTAGCATGGCACAGAGCCTGTGCTAGAGACTACGACCATTTTCCTGGCACAGGGGCGTTGTCCATCTGCATGGAGATCAAGTTCCTCAGTTGGTGCATGCTATGGGGTAAACTAAAATAAGATCTTCCACTGTTAGATTGTTTTCAGTGGTGCCATAAACTTCTCAGCTACCAAAATTACTAAATAGTTACTGATAATCAATAAATGTTGCATCTGGATATAAAAGTAAGATGGAATAAAAGGAAATCTGACCGTAGAAATAATTTTAGCTTGATTCTCTCTTAATTTTGTTCAGAAAGGGAGGTGTAAATTTGCTAATAAGTAGGAACGTAATAATTTTAAATGGTTTCCTTAAAAGCACAAGTTTATTTAAAAAAGCATAACCTTTTCTACTTCCTAGAGGGAGGGGAATTGTAAGGAGAAGAAGCCAGACTTCATTGTTTTGGGAGCAGCAAGCTATTAGTTTGGATCAAACCATCTTGTGATAATAATGGCTTCAACACTTGAATGTGCTTACACTTCCGTGCAAAACAAACCCCCAGGCTTTCAATGTTTGAGAAGGTTTATGCGAATCATGCAGGTTTGCATTTCTGATGCCATTTTTTCTGAAGCTTGCACTAAGAAATTTGAATTTGCCATTTATGGAAACATTTTTGTTACTTATTCAGATATTCTAAGCCAATAGCACTTTTTCCAGGGAACACTGTTATTGCCTGGTAAAATTCAAGCTGCTTTAATGTACTATTCAGAATAACCCTCTGAAAATCTTACTTTTAAATGTACCTAATATGCTGTATGCTTTTCAAGAAATGTTTATTCCTTTTTTTTTTTGCACTCTTAATCTGTTCTAATAAAACCTTTCCCAATATAAACTATGGCCCCGTGATTCAATATAACTTTTTAACTAGTTAGCCCTCTTATTAAGGTAGGAGTTGAACAGTTCAAAGTACAATGACAAGGTCAACTGAGTTTTGCACTAAGAGCTTGCAGCCATTGTACATAAAAGTGCTCTGTACGCTTTTGTTGCGCTGACCACGGAACGTTGGAGCAAAGAGTGTTTTCAGGAGAGGTTTTTTAAAACTTGTTGGCTACTATTTTATTGCTACTTTTTAAAATGTGTTAGTGCGGAAGGACCAGTTTCACTTGTAGCTCACCCACAGGAGATGTAATTAATCTCTGATGTCAAGGATTGTAAAGATTTTATAGCAGAGAGCATTTGGCCCGGTGAGATGGGGGGGGTCTCAGCTGTGTGTTTTCTCAGCTGAGGGAGCCCTTTTGCGCTGCACGCAGGAGTAACAACTCGTGGTCTGCAGGAATACAGAAAGGCATTAACTTGTTGATGCTGAGAAAAGGTGTATTTTGTTAATGCTAAGTGTTTTATATAAAACATAAAATGCATTAACCAGTTCACATAAATAATAACCTGTGCCCTCAGTCAAAAATAGAACAAAGCATGAGGTTGGATAGAGTGTTGGTATTGGTTTAAGGTGCTGTATGCCTGCAGGTGGTAGTTCGGGGTACAGTCTTGACTGGGGCAGAAATACAAACATCTAAGCTTCAGGGAACCAAGTATATGTGGGTAGTAACCTAGCATTTTGCAATACTTCCAATATCTGCACAGTCACCCTGAGTATTCCTCTGAATTTCAGCCTAGCCCAGCAGAAGGTCACCAAGAATATGAGGTCACCAAAAATACTTGCAAAAAAGAGGAAGAACTGGCTGGTGCGGGCTTTATTCCTTTCTGAAGATCCAGGAGTAAGACGTTCTCTGTTGACTGATTAGAGGTTTTTAGATATTTTTGTTTTTTTTTAAAAAGCCTGATTTCCAAAGTAGGGGAGGCTGACGGGATCCCACTCGCTTATGCCCCCACCATAACAACTTTTGCACATGTTTTTCAATTCATCCAAATTCAAGAGAAGAATAGGAATGAACTTGCCATGTTTCAGTTTGAGTGGAGTTTCCAGGGTGCAGGTCAGATGGCTGCTTTAGGGAGCATCAGAATACACTGTCCTGATACAAAACCAGCACGCAAAGTAGGTACATTGCTATAGAGCTGTATGCAAGCGTCGGTTTCTATATATTTATGATCAGTTTGTGTTTCTGATAAGGACTAAGTCGTGAGCCCGGTGACCGTCCTGCCACACCAAAATAATTCTTCTAACTTGCTGGAGTTAGAAGAAACTACAGAAACTAGTAACTTATTGTTCTTTAACCTATTGTTTCTTTAACATTTGTTGAGCTATTTAGAATCATATAAGGCGGATAGCCCTTCTGTGGGGAGGGTGGTACAGGCTTCCAAAGCAGAGTAAAGGCTCTTATTCTCGCTGCTGTGGCTTAAAAATATATGTATGTTGGCATGAAATTGGGAATGCTCGCTTCTGGAATTTTCTTTGTTTATTTGTGGGGGGGGGGTTCCCCCTTTTCCCAAGCAGTAAATATATCCTAATCTGTGAGTTTTCATTTGAAAGTAAAGAAAAAAAAAAAGCTGAAGAGCAGCGAGGTGGTTACTCGGCTCAACGCTTCTGGCCTTAGCTTACAATTAACCAGCCCTTCTCTCCACAGCCCGGGGCCCGCGGTGGGGTCTTCTCCCCTCGCTACTCGGAGCAATGTCTGTAGAGTGGGGCCGGAGGCCGCAGCCCGCCCCGCCGCCACGGTGAGGGGCCGGGCCCGCCCGCCTTCCCCGCCAGGCCCCGCCTCGCCTCCCCTCGCCTCACCTTGCCCGGCACGCCGCGGTGGTCGGTGCTGCCCTGCCAGAAGCGGCGGCTGTAGCCCCGGATGCGCCCTACCAGCTTCTCCTCGTAGGGGAAATCCACCTTCCAGATGAGGGAGCCGTAGCCGAACACCCACATGGCTGACCGGCTGCCTGGCGGCCCGGCCGCCGCGGGCCTGCGCACTGCCGGCGGGGCGGCGACGGGAAAAGCCGGCGGGGCTTGTGCCGCGCCAAAAGCCCAAACCGAAGCCCCATATGCATATTCTGTATTAACAGGCATCTCTCTTTCCCCCTTTTTTTTTTTCTCCCTCTGCTCTTCCCCCCCCCCGCCGCAGTTTGCTGTGGGTAGGGATGGATTTCACGGAGGCCTATTCCGATCGATGCTCTGCCGTGGGGCTTGCAGCCAGAGAAGGAAATGTTAAAATGCTGAAGAAACTAATTAAGCAGGGATACAGCATTGACGTTCCGGATAACAGGGGGTGGGTGCCCATCCACGAAGCAGCAGCTCACAATTCTAGTGAATGTCTGAGGCTGCTAATTAATGCAGGTAAGGAGTAGTGCGATCTTCTGCTAAATTACTTTGTCATATAAAATATACATTAAATTGATTTCTATTATCGTAACCTTGTTTTGTAAATTTCTGTGTGGTTTTGTAGATACTGCCTAGCTATGGGCAAGAGAAACTGGCATGCTGTAGTCTGTTAATGACAATTGATTTTACTTTGCCTTCTCTATCTAAGGCAGGCGTAGGGTCAACAATAACTGGCACTGCTGTTTGAAAGAGTCCAATGGCACATTCGTGGATATGCTGTAGCCTGCATATCTCAACTTAGTTATTTGAAGAAAATAATCGTGTCTTGTAATATATCACCAAGTAATATATCACCTTTTACGTTATTCTCACTTACAGCTCCATCTGATGGCTACATAAATTCAAAGACGTTTGAAGGGCTGTGTGCGCTGCACCTTTCGGCACGCCACGGCTCTTTGGAAAGTGTTCGTGTTCTTCTGGAAGCTGGGGCTGACCCCAATGAAGTTACCACTGAAGCAACCACCGCGCTGTTCCTAGGTTACACAAACTTTCTTGAAATCTCAGAACAACTGAAAAGTGGAGAGGAGCTTATTCACTAAGTTTAACCTCACCAGAGTTCGTTCACCACCTACCATGTTTCATTGTTTGTAGCCTAAGAGCCTTTGAGCTTTAGACTCAGAGTGGGTAGATTTATCTAAAATCTATCTTTGGGTAGATTTTTCTAAATTTATGGATAAACCTGCTTCAGACTGTGTTTTAAAACAAAAGTGTGAAGCCAAATATTTTTTGTATCTTTCTAGCACAGGAAAGGTCTTGCGTTTTTGTTTTTTAATTCCACCCTACTTCTCATATGAGAAGACCTTTTATTCTTTTTGCAATTCCTAGTTCAGCAGTTAAGGTCCGTTATTTTAGTATTTTTTCTACGATTTATGTTTGACATAATTAAATGCCTGAAAGTTCTGCTGTTGTGAATCCTCAGAGTCTAAATCATCTGATTAAATATGCTTATTGTTTTACTCACCTCTGTGCTCAGGCAAACATCGTGGCTGCCACATTACCTTTGTTTACAAGTCTATTCACATTTTATTTTTAAGCAACTAAATAGTTCATTTGCTTAAAATAATTGTAACAGGTGAGGAAATCATCATTAAATCACACTGGATAATTAGAATTAGTGCTATATATAAGTGCTTACATAGATTGGACAAGGGCCAAGGAATACTGCTGGGGTTGTGTATCCAAGAGATTTTTAAAAAGGTCAGGTTAGCCTAGGCTATGTAATGGGGTTATGGCACAGCTCTGTCTTGGACATTCAGTACTACGAGGCAGAGACACTCCTTTGGCCAAGTCCTGCACTAATACTCTACAAATTTATTCAATCAGCAGCAACTATTTGCAGGTCATTTGTCGCCATACCAAGCTTTTACAGTTACACAGAAAATGTGCCTCCGTAGAATTGTTGGTGGCAAAAACTTGAGGATGAATCAAGATGCTAAAGGAGGCTTTGTCAATTAATACACTAGCATAAATTAAATGTATAGATTATCAATTCATTTTATGAAGGTGTTTAAAACACTTTTAAACTTTTTAAAAAAGGTTTAAGTTTGGGGAAATTTGTTGCGAGAGAGCCACTGGGCTTCACAGCTTCGAGTTGGGTGCCTGCTGCAGGATTGTCCCCGTGTTCCACAGGAGAGGGGAGTGAGAGAAACTTGCTTTTGCTCTGTTAGCACAGTGTAGGTGGAATTTTAACAAGTTTAACTAAAGTTTTTGTGGATAAATTTCCATTCTCCAAGCCTGTTTTGGGGGTGTAAATGTAAAATGCAAGTAAGCATATATAAGGCAAGTTTAAAAGAATTATGATTATTGTGTCAAGAAGTTTGCTCTGAGACTATTTGAGTTTTTTAATGAGTTCTTTAAATCCAGTTAATAGGATTTTTTTTTTTTTTTTTTTTTTTTTTTTTACTGTTCTATTTGAAGCTGTTGAGAATGAGCATGCAAACATGGTAAAGTTTCTGCTCCAACATGGAGCAGATGTTAAAGGACCTCATTCTTGGTCTGGATGGAATTCTTTGCATCAAGCTTCTTTTCAGGTAACCTGTAAGTGTATTGTGTAATTTCCATGTATCTATAATGTCTGTGTATTCTGAGTGGTAATTTATCTATTTGCCTTTTTATCGTGTAATTTTTCTTAACCTATTCTGACAGTCATAAGGTTGCCTAAATGCTGAAGGGCTTGCAGTGCTCTGAAGAGTGTATCTGAAACTACATGAGGTGTTGATGTTGGGAAGCAATAATTGTTTAGGTGTTACAAGCATTGTATGTCCTCACAAGCTCATGTGTTGTATTTGGGAAGTGAATCTCTTACAAGATTCTTACAGATCTGTTTAGTAGCTCATCACGAGTGAGATGTAGGACCTGTTTCCAGAATAGAAATATGTTAGCTTGATGGTTCTAATAAACTAATTTAATTTCCATTTGTATGTATTGTGTAAATGAGCAAATATGTGAAATTAATTTAAACTTGTCTATTCGCTTCTACTGTTAATTTTTTGGTATATTTTTAGAATATTGAATTCATTGTGGTTTTTCTTATTTTTGTTCGGAATATAGGGGAAAATAGATTACTTAAATTCCCCACTTTTTGGTTGGTTAAGAGTAAGAATATTTATTTCAGGGATGCACTGAGATAATGAAAATACTCATGGAGAAAGGGGCAAGCAAGGAATGTAAGGATGACTTTGGAATCACACCTTTGTTTGTTGCTGCTCAGTATGGAAAGCTGGAGAGTTTAAGACTGCTTGTATCCCACGGTAATTGTTATCATTCATTTAGCTTCATTGTTCTTAAACTTCCATCAACCTGTCACCAGCTACAATTTTAGTTCTACTTTTGCACTTCATAACTTCAAATTTTAGTAGTTTTAATGTAATTTTAGTTGCAGATGGATATGCAAAATCGTCTTAATTGCTTAAATCTTGTTTCAGTAATTTAATGTAGTTTTCAGCAAGTGATGGTAGGCAATAAATCAAACCTCAGAAAAGATCAAGGTTCACCAGGATCTTCTAGAAGCCCTTGATAATACTACATTAGTGGTCTGATTTTGATGACATCGCTCTTGTACTAGGATATTGTTCAGGCTAAGTGAATGTATCTCTCTGTGGTCATGAAGTGACACCAACAGTTTCATATGTTTTATATGTTATCAACAGTTTATATGTTTTCAACAGTTTCAGGTTTTGTATGTCTAAGTGCGTGTGTCCCTACAAATAACCGTTAAGCCTTAGGAAGCCATGACCTGACCAGATAATCAGTACTAAGCAAACGGGGAGAATCTTAAAAAATAATCACAATCAAAATATTGCCTAGCTCATTACCTTCCCTCCAGCATGTTTATCTCGTGTTGTGCTGATCTTTAACAGAGTTAATGTTAAAGCACTGACTGTTTAAAAAGTTAGCAACAAGCTAATAAACATTTCTTTGTTGCTGTGAAAAACTCGTTGTGTTGTGAAGTCACTCTGTGAGAACCGATTACCAATTAACTTGAATTTGTTGTTTATTTTGTGTGGTGGGGATGTATTGGCTTTTTTTTGTTTGTTTGTTTTCCAGGTGCAGATGTAAACTGTCAGGCCAAGGACAGAGCCACTCCTCTGCTGATTGCGGCCCAGGAGGGCCACGCGGAGTGTGTGGAACTGCTGTTATCCAGCGGGGCAGACCCAAACCTCTACTGCAACGAGGACAACTGGCAGCTGCCTATTCATGCAGCGGCTGAAATGGGTCACAAAAAGTAGGTGATTAAAAAGGCATTCGGGCAAAAGATCCTGGCAGTGAAAACCTAATCGACAAAGCGGAGGTTCAGCTCTAAAAGAAAGAAAAACAAGTTCTCAAGATGATTTGTAGTTTAGAATTTCTAAGTGTTTAAATATTTTAAATGGCTGTTAGTAGTCCCAGTAAAGTGAGCAACCATTTTGAACTGAGCATCTAATCTGGGTCTGGTCAGCATCCTCATGAGTTTAGAGAGGTTTCTACAGTGCTGAACCAGATACCAATTCACTCAATAACCATATTACTTCCATGTTTTAAAATATAAATAACAATAGCATATGCTTTACACATTAATTGAACAGCTCTTAATTGGAGTTATAGCCTTCTGCATTACTTCTGCATTAAGTAGCAGAAGTAATCACATACAAATAATGAGTTAGCTGAACCACCCAGAAAATTAAAGCCATAAAACAATTCCTTTAATACTTCCAGAAATGCATTTTTACTTTTGCCCTATCCCAATGATAATAAATCACTTTTTTTAGCAGAAAATCCAGAGTGGAAGGAAGTTCCCAGAGTAGCAGGCCATTGTGGAGAAGCATCAGGAGCCCCATGGCTTGCACATGTGTGACAGCATTTAAAATAAAATATATTAATGATGATACTAACTGCAAAATTAGTAGTAGATGCTTGATCTTAACCCTGAGCAGGAGGAGGTCATCAGCTGAGCTGTCATTAAAGTTTGTGTGTCAAATTGATGCCTCTCCTCAAACTGATGAGGAGAGCATATAGTAGTAAATACTGAGGAAGCTGAGTTTTGTTCATTTTCTCAGAAATGAAAGATGGACCAGTAAAGTTGCCAGTACTAGAAATGTC